ATGAGAATATTTCTCTAGTCAAGAAAAAGCAGATAGGGAACTGATATCAAACAGTAAAAAAAGAACAGATACCAAGAACATGTTTGTATATCTAGGACAAGGATTGCGGTAAAATTAAGGTTTTTCTTACTTTTTCCTCAAACTGAATAATTTTATAATTAAAACGGTCATACTTAAGTTAAAATGATCATAGACTGTGGGTTGTAAAAGAAAAGGTCTTCTTGAACCTAGATATATTTATGTAACTATGCTACAATGCCGGAATAAGTTATTAGAACTTAATATAACTAATAAAATTGAAAGAAGTAGGCACAATCTGTGATCTTTAGTAAGGGGCCATCCTCACCCGATTAAGAATAGGCCGTGCGAGGTTGACACCTGGACACTTACTTTTGTGCCAAAGCCCGCATATATGTCTATCGTACAAAGAAAGTTTGTTCGATGTGACCATTTAATTGAATGGTATCATTTCTTGGCTCCATTTAGAGAGTGTGTACAAATGTCACCCAATATAAGAATTGTGCTTAAGCACAGCAGCTGGTAATTGGGTTTCCTGTTCCAATTTTTAGAGGAAATAGGTATTCTTTTTCTTACTGTATATAGTACTGATAGTTTTGTGCACATAGTGTGTTGAGAGTGAACCATTCTATTTATTTGTGTGAATGTGTAGTGTAAGAGCAGAATGTTGAGTACCCCATTGATCCTCAAGTATGTTAATTATAAAATAGGTATAAAGGGTTATGGAGGAATAAAAATGGCATGTAAATAAGACAGAACATGTTTAATAGTGTGTAAGAGAATGGATGATTTGGTTTTAGGAACTGATTTCATTGGGGGGTTGAAATGACCCTAGCTGTTGGTAGCTTCACTGCACAACTGCTGGAAGAATAAGTCTGACCCCAAACTGCCAATCCCCGGTTTGTGTAATTGTCAAAGCCTGCCCCTACTTTATTGTAAATTTCAAAACCTGGAATTTCCAGTGGATCTGTGAGAAGTGATAGGCTCATCACTGAACATGTGTGTACATAGAACATACATGTATAGATTTGAGCTTGTATAAATCAATATTTGTGATGTTAAATTGTCACATCTGTACCATATTATTGTACAATTCCAAGTTTATATCCCTATAAGAAATCCTATATAACAACTCCTGAAGTGATCAAAATTTCTTTTGATTTATAGGACTTCACTTTAACTATTTCAGTTCTACTGATAAAAAGTTCAACCATTTTATTAGTTTGTTTGTTTTTAAGAAGGTATTTCAACTACGAGATTATTACTGGTTATTACTTTGAAAATAATCCCATTTGTAAGTATATCAGCCATTGGGATCGAATGCAAGACTGCTGGATTCGAACCTGGGACCTTTACCACAGAGTGATGAGTGCCATGTCAATGCATAAACCGTTGTTGGCGTGGCCACCAACGCCCCTAATTATTAGTTTATTATGAACACCATAATATAGGATTCAAGTGAGGTCAATAATAGAGCATGGTTAACCGTGTCAAAGAAGGCTTTTTTCAACAGACTGAAAAGTGTAATGCTGCAGTGTTAATAGATTTGTATTGGTAGGATGACATGTGAGGAAACCATTTTGCTCAGGAAAGATATTTTGAAAATCAAAAATCAGATTCCTATTACAATTGAGCATGGATTCAAACACCGTGGGAAATAACGATTGCAAAGAAATTATTCTATAATTACTACCGCAATTGAAATTTGGAGTAATGTAGCAGGTTTTCCAATATTGCAGGAAGCACTCTGCATTTATGGGGGGATTGAAAATAATACGGAGGATCTAAGAAGAGCTTCAGCAAAGTTAGTAGGGGAGATACTATATCTTAGTATATCATAAAATGGTTGGACATTCATTAACATTACAAGAATCTTGTAAGATATTCCATGGAACAGATTTTAAATAGGATGACAGATTAAAATAGACACCTTATTATAATTGTAACTATATTCTTCAAGATTTAAAATTTTATTTACAGGACTATTTAACGATAAATTTTAGAGCCCAAGATATGACGGATCTAACTAAGCTCATATGAGATCTACATATACCTAAAAAAAAATTTAATTTACTGTATTTGTTTATATATTTGTATTCAGTAATATGAATATTCCAGTATGTACTATACATAAGAAAGCAACTAATAGTTAAAAACTTATCATATATTTGCACATTACTTATCACAATTGGTTAAAGTATAAATTGGTCGTCATAAATTTCTTTTTAATACTGTTCATTATTTTTCAAACAATATGTATTTAATAACATTTTTATGCCTGCATTTATAGTATTTCAAGTCATCCCTATTATCAATAAAAAAAAATTTTATGTACGAACGGGCTATTTATTCTTTAATTATAAAAATTTACAATTCCTCTATAGATGTTGGTTGATAAACTATTGGGTTGTCCGGAAAATAATGCAGGATTTTAAGTTTTCATTAAAAAAAATCTATATAAAATATTCTGTTTACGTTTACAGGATTACTCATTTGTATGAATGTCAACACTTATTAATCCTCTTCCAAATGATATTGTTTGTTTACCTCTGTAGCATTCCGCTACTTGGAAATAATTCAGTCATCCTTATAATGTCAAAGCGAGAATTTCGTACGATTTTCTTTTACGAGTTTAAACTCGGCCGAAGCGGAGCCCAAACGGCTAGAAACATTAACCAAGTCTGGGGCGAGGGTTGTGTTAATGAGTGCACTGTGCAAAGGTGGTTTAAAAAATTTCGGGAGGGAGATTTCAGCCTTGAAGATGAAGAAGGTCGTGGAAGGCCTTCCTCTCTTAATGATGATGTTCTGCGATCAGTGGTGGAAGAAAACCCCAAAACAACTGTTCGAGAACTTGCAGAGCAACTCAAAGTCAGTAAAACGACCGTCGCTGACCACCTCAAGGCGATTGGAAAAGTGAAAAAACTCGAAAATTGGGTTCCACACTCATTAAACGATCGCCAAAAAAATCAGCGCTTTGATGTTTGTGCATCACTTCTTTGTCGAAACAAAAATGACCCATTTCTGGCCAGAATTGTTACATGTGACGAAAAGTGGATTCTCTACGATAACACTAGACGTTCTGGACAGTGGCTCGACAAAGGAGAAGCTCCAATACATTTTCCAAAGCCCCCAACTCATCAAAAAAAGGTAATGGTTACGGTATGGTGGGCTTCATTTGGTTTAATACACTACAGCTTCTTAAATCCTGGCGAAACCATCAATGCTGAATCATACTGTAACCAAATTAATACCATGCATCAGAAATTGGCAGTAATGAAGCCCTCTTTGGTCAATCGGAAAGGGCCCATTTTGTTGCATGACAACGCTCGACCACATGTGTCACGTGTAACGTCACAAAAATTATTGGAGCTTGGCTATGAAACTTTGCCTCACCCACCCTACTCTCCGGACCTCTCGCCTACTGACTACCATTTTTTTAGACACCTGGACCACTACTTACAACACATAATATTCAAAAATCAAACGGAACTGGAAAATGCATTTATTGACTTTATCAATTCTAAAAATTCTGAATTCTACTCAGACGGAATTAATAAGTTACCAACACGTTGGGAGAAATGTATTGAGAGTATGGGAAATTATTTTGATTAAAGAACATTGCTTTAAAGTAACTAGTTTCTTTTTTTTTGTTTAATACCAAAATCCTGCATTATTTTCCGGACAACCCAATAGGTATGTTTACATTCCTGTTATCTTTTGGAGTCCAACATGAAAGCCACCAATAATTCTTAGAGCAGTATTTTGGACTACCTGGAGCTTGCAAAAATTTGGTTTAAACATATTTCCCTAAATAGGAGTAAGTGATTAATGGAATGTAAAGTTCATAAATAAGTTTTTATTTTTATTGGACATTCCAAGTTATTTAACATTCTAAGCCCACAGTAAGAGTGAGTTATTTATTGTGACATGATTAACATTGTGATGTTTGCGTTGAGTAAACAGTATTGCCTCAGTCTTGCTATGATTAGGTCATAACCTTCAGTTTTCAAAATATTTAAAACATCCAGCTACAGTTACTGTCTACTGATAGTACCAACTGTATAGACTCTCATAAAGGCCATATCATCAGCAAAGAGAATCGGTTCAGCTGTAGTTTTTAGGTTGGAAATGTCATCTATAAAGATATTAAACATGGCCCAACAGCATACCCTTGGTAGACCCGTATCTCATACTTCTTAAAAGCAACGTTATGCCATCAATCTGTAGAAAGAATTTTCTGTTCGTTAGGTAATTACTAAGTAAATGTGCAAGGTAGTAATGTGACATGAAGTTAATGAGACCTATGTGCCATTCACAGGCAAGCGATTTCTTCATGTCAATAAGTACCATTTCCCCACATGCTTATTTACATTAAAATTATAGACTATCATATCCATCGCTCTGGCCATCTGCATGGGCCTGAATTGACAATTCATATTATGTCATTTTCTATAATAGTCTCGTGAATAAGGGTTGCGGCTGTTGGACCACAATCGTAATCCATGAGACTATTATAGAGTAAAGGCTGATTGATCACACAGAAGATAATAAGATACTATTAATGTCATTATCATTTAAAACGTTCTAATTCTTTGCAGTACTACTTTCTCTGCAAAAATTTTGAGAGGGTACTAAAGTGATGTTGGGCGATGGCTACCAGGGAGGGTGTGATATTTATTAGGTTTAGGATAACTTTTGCTATTTTGCAGGAAGATGGAAAATGAGCATGTACTAAAGTGTTATTGATTATTGTTGTTCATGTTTGATTAAATGTGTTTATGTCTTTTAACTTAGTTTGCATGGTTAATCCCCTGAAGACAAATAAATTATGACTACTACATGATGTAATTCCGGCATGAAGATTGTTATTATGCAATGAAAATAAATGCTTTATTATTATATTGTCTTTTGCATTTTTGATCAATCGATGTGTTTGAAAAAATGAAAGAAAAAGTTATTGGTAAAATAAAATGAAGATATACCAGATATGAATTTTGATTACTGATCTGTCCGGTGTCGACATGGTACGCGGGCTTTTGGTGCACTGGTTGGTTGCTGGTACGTCGATGCTGGCGCTGCAACGGCGCTAACCAGCGCTATCTCTGGCACGCGTTTCAAACTTCCAAGTTTCAACTCCAGAGTCCAGTCGGCTTCCGCTTCTCGACCTGTTTGGTCAGTCCTCTCCTCGTGGGTTTTTGTTTTTATTTTTTTCAGTTTCTAGCCCGTGTTTTTGTGTTTCTACCGTTTCCCATTTTCGAGTCCGGAGAAGCGTCGAAGGATGTGAACATTTGAAGTTGCACCTTCTTTCGAGGATATGAAGTTTTCTAGTTATGGTGACTTACCTGATATTCAACATATAGAATGCTATCGGCCGTGTTATATGCCGTCAGCTCTTTACTCGCACTCAGTCTTGGTGAGTACCAAGTTCGATTTTTCCAAGGTTTCAAGTAGAAAAAACACCTTGGTATGCATGATAGTCTGTAGTGTTAACCTCGTCTTGCAGGAAGAAAAACACAACAAACTTCAAAAAGAACACAGCTGAAACGTCTCTCCCCTTCTAGTCGCCGAATATTAAATCAACAAGTTCTATAAATAAACAGCCGGTTCTAGAACACGTTGAAACGTTTAAGAAAACTCTTCTTTTTTTATTAGTGTTCGACCACTACAAAAGCGCGTTTTAAACATTTTATTTTTCTCCAGGCTGCCCAGGTAGTTGCGCTTTTGTTGTTGTTCTTTTCAGAAGAAGGATTAACGAGCCTGTTATTCCGGCGTCTACCTACAGAATTGACCGAAGCCGTGAATCGCAAAACACGTGGGAACAGAATGAATACAAATTTAAAAATTGAATAAATCTTATGTAAATTTTTATTCTTCGTGTAAGACATAAGTTGAAGATGAAGTTGGAAAGAGATATTCAGCCGACTGATCATCTCTTAACACCTACTGTTTTTCATTTTTTAAAAATTTTAACTCGTCTAATTTATTTTTTAACACAAAGTTTGTAACATATAACATGACCACAAAAAATGGATTTCGTAATGAACATGTTTCGTCCTGTACAAAAAAGAAAAAAAAGTTTGTTGCAGAAGAATTAAAATATCTAAACTGAGCTGAATTGAATTCCAATTGATAAACATCACCGAATCTTCGATCGGAAATGTATGCTTAGTCTTGGAAACAGAACGGAACAAACTGAATTTTTATTTATTTATTCCATTAGAGTTCGTGGTCAGATTGACCAATAAACTTATTTCAATTAATTAATCTTTATGTAAGGTATTGGTTGAGATAAAAATTTATTTTTATTATTATTATTATTTTTTAATATTTCATCATTTAATTTTAAACACAAATTTTTTGAACATAATCCCAAAGGAGAAATTTCAAAATGAACATGTTTTGCCCAGTATGAAAAAAGAAACTTTGTTTGAGAAGAATTAAAATATCAAAAAATGGTTAGTGGTCATCATTGACCATATTAATTATTCTCCAATTACATAATAATTAATGGAATAATTAATATGGTCAAGTATGACGACTAACGATATATGGGTTAATTTATCAAAATCCTATGTAAATTTTTATTCGTGTGTAGGGGGACATAAGTGCTAAGAAGTTAAAATGATATATATATATATTTTTTTTAAAATTGGAACATCTAATTTATTTTTTTAATACAAATTTTGTTACATATAACATGACCACAAAGGATAAATTCATAATGAACATGTTTTGACCTGTATAAAAAACACTTTGTTGGAAGCGAATTAAAATATCAAAACAGAGCTGAACTCAATCCTTTTTAAAAAAAAAGATAGTTCCTACTCACAGTAAGAACTATCTTTTTTAAAAAAGGATTGAACACCGCACTCACTCCATCGTTCATCATTTCTATATAGCTGAACTCAGTTCCAATGAACTTCACCGAATCTCCTATCGAAAATCGGAAATGTAAACTTAGATAGATCACAAACACATGGAAACAGTACGGAACAAACTTAAAATTTGTATACCATGTGTAAGACATACATACGAGAAGCTACGAAGAAGAAGTTGGAAAAAGATAATCAGCCTACTGGTCATCTTTTTAATACCTATTTTTTTTTAAATAGAATACATCTCATTTAATTTTAAACACAAATTTAAACTTTTAAATTCAATAAAAATACATTATATGAAAACATATCAAACATAAACGATATCAAAGCTTAAGGCTATAATAACAAATAAGACATATACGTATTTATATAAAAAAATAAAATATTACAATACTATTTCATCACAATAACTAAAGCAAAAGAATATCTTCAACGGCAAACATTTGATAAATCTTTGATTGATGAATGGACAAGTGATAAAATATTAATTTCCTTCGGCTGCGCATTGACACTTTGACACTGTCAAGGTAGACTAGAGTATTTAATTAGCAATTGGGGTTATATGATTTTGAGAAAGAAAGATGCTGTTTTGGTATTACAAGGAGGAATGAGTAAATTTAGAAGGGATAGAAGATCAGAACAGTCTATAAGTAACAATTGGTAGTGCTGAGTCTGCGAGTGGAGAGGTTTGAAGTCCAGTCAGTTCAAGAAGAACATCGTAGACCCTAGTCTAGCTATACCAAAGGAGGCGCAAAAATCGCCTATGGACAATTTTAAAATTTTATACCGACATTAATTTTTCAGCTTTTTTACCCTTTTGGTATTTTGGTACCAATTTGTATTGCCTATACCTTTGCATCGCTGTTTGGTTTATTGTGATAAACCGAGGATGGCTACCTAGCTACAAAAATATAAGCTGCGACCAATTTTAGCTGCAGAAAATATACGTATGTTTTTATACTAACGTCAGCTGCGGAGAACTTTTATGTCAATTTTAGCTACAGAAAATATAAGCTTTTATACTAATTTTATTTGGGTCGTTTATTAAATTTCTGGCCGGTCCGCTGTTTTGGTTTGTAGTGACAAGCGGGTTTTGGTAGCTTAGCTACAAATAATATAAACTTTTGTGTGAGTTATGCAATTACCGGGTAAAGGAAGACATATTCCATTTTGTCGCGGAATATGCCCCATTCTGTCCCCCTATCGTTTGTCTGCGTTCGGCGAAAGAACCGTATCAATGGACAGATTCATAAAATTGCTCAACGGGCCAGATTGGATGCACTTGGTAAATTATGCTAAAGCGGCCTGGGCCTATCGAAGGCTAATAGTAAACGAATTTAATAGTAATTCCCTTTTCTTTTTCTTTTTTACTGCTCATCTCTTTTCCCCCGCTCTTTCTCTTGATATTTGGTGCTTCTGTTTCTCCGGTCTCACCTCCGGCTCATTGATTTTTACTTCTCAGTTTTGTGTCCTTTTTATTTAGTATTTTGTTATAGATATTACATTTAGCATATATTTAGCTTAATGTATTTGTACGCTTGTTTTATAGGATTAGTTAATAATTAATCCAAACTCCGGCAGACGGTTACCTTGTCGAATTAAGTTTATTTTCTTGTCTGAATAATCTGTAATTTTTATTTTCTTCATGGGTGCAGTAATTATTAATATTGTTACTACTTACTTTGTTACTGGTAAACTTATTATTATATAAACTTTTATACCAATTTTATTTTGGTCTTTCTATGCCTCCCAGTTTTGGTCTGTTGTTACAAACCAATTTGGTAGCATAGCTACAAAGAATACACACTTTTATACCAATTTATATTTTATTTCGGTCATTATGCCGTCACTATGCCTAACTTGTTTTGGTCTGTTGTTTACAAACCGAAGGTGGTAGCATAGCTACAAATAATATGAGCTTTTATACCAATTTTATTTTGTCATTTCGTAAAATCATGTTTTTCTTGTCCTCGCTGTTTTGTGCTGTTATGACAAATCGGGGATCCTTAGGTACAAAAATGTTATGCCATTATTTTTAAAGAACCTGACAGATTAAAATGATAGTTAACGTAAAGGCAGGCTGAGAGATAAACTATCATATGTTCCATGGCACAAATAATCTACTATTTTTAGAAGAAAACTTCCTATGTGTCAAAGGAAAATCATGTGTTTTTATATGTTTTTTTAAATACTTTTTTCCCCCAGGAAAGAATGTTTGTTCTTCTCCTGTTCCTTTCTAGCCAATTTTCCTCTTATACAGAAACGGAGCCAAGAAAGGGGCTCACCGAATTATAATAATCAGAGACGCTAACAAGGCTCCAAGGTGGGTACAGTCTCACCGAAAAATCACATCTCGGTCGGTAGTCGGCGGCCGGTCAGCCTCGCTTCGAACAATGGGCCTTTTTCACCTGTATCAAATCATAAAGTGTCGACCTTTAAACCCAAATTGAATTCTCGGGCTGGGTCAAAGTTGATTTTTTTTTCTGACAATGTTGTCAGGGATTATGTCAGTTTCTTCCTTTTCTATATTTCATGGGATCTTCCTTTCCTCTATGTTCCTTGTGGCGAAAATATCGGAGTTTGTAGGATTTTATATAAAAAATATCACATTTAAACTAAGCTTAATGTTGATAAGAGGAAATTCTTGCAAAGTTATTACTTATGAAAACTATATAGATATGGTTATTATTGTTGCAATATGCAAATTTTGCAAATTATGATTTTCTTTTTCTTGATTATAAGTAGAGACCGGATTTTTATGCAGTTGCATATTTTGTTTGCCACCACATACGACCGAGGACATCAATTATCTATCCGAATCATGTATCTAGGAAGCCGAAGGTTAAATTTTAAAGAGCATATTTGTGAATATTTGAAGGATTTTTTACGTAAAATCGCATTTATCGCGCAAAATAAAATATACATTTATAAATAAGAGTGCACAGTTTTGATTATCGAAAACGACAGCGAGACTCAGCGAACCCAGAGATTCGGCAATTTAATGTATGTTGTCCTCTTTTCATCAAAAAACAAAGCTAAAACATCAGACTTCTTTCTCAAATCGGAAATTGCCTAGTTGATTAATCGTTTACAGTGCGCTTTCCGCAGAACTATAAATCAACCCTGCATAAACATGTGACTACTCTTCTTTTCGCGAACAGTTACATAAAGACCTGTCTTTTGTTTTCTTAACCGTAAATTGACCTAGTTGATTCGGTGAAAGCATGACAGTTAAAATTCAGTTCGATCATTTAATCCTTGACCAGAGTTTGGTAGGATAATTGGTGATCTCATTGAAGATTTTACCCAAAACACCTAGGTCTTTGTTATAAGATTAAATTATAAAATAAATGCAAGTTATGTCAAATTATTGTTACATTCAAGTCGTGGTAAAGTGCATAAATTTCACTTCCCCACGGATGTGGAACACATATATTCAATATTCTTAGGAACTATGTAAACAGCATTAAACTGCATTTTCTCCCTCTCCCGATCTAATTATTCTAATCTATCTCTCTATCTAATTATTATTCAC